AAGCTATTGGAACCTCATAGACTAAATTCGTGCTACCAAAATAAGAGTCATGGGCATTTTGTTCAATCACTTGGCATTAAGTGAAGTGCCCATTTTGTCATAAGCACGGTGCTAGGTATTGAAAATATAGTGTGATGAAAAAGCAATGTCGGTAGCCACATACACTGTACCTACCAGACATTAATTTGTTTGTCATAACTGGATAATATGACTATAAGTGATTTTTTTATTTGCCTTTCTTGCATTTTTCTCATTTTCTAAATAATCTATAGTGCAAATGGTACCTTTGATAACTGGGAAAAATAGTTTAAAGTAACCTGTTATCTTTAGTACTTATGTACAAGAGAGATACTAATCTCTGAGGTAGGCTGCAAATCAAAAGCTTTGCTTTTTTTTTTTTTTTTTTGGTAGCAGGGATCAAACTCGGGTCTTTGCGTTTTTGAGGCAGGTGGTAGAAACACTGAGCTAAATCCCCGGCCCAGCTTTGTGTTTTTAGAAAATAAATTATTTTAGGGAATGTCTCATAAGGCCATGTAGATCTGTGTTTATTTCAATGTTATGGACAAAAATACAAAAATCATATGTTAATAATGATTTATAACAAAGCATTAAAATGAATATTTGAGAAAAGTTTCTCCCATATTTAGGCTTCCATAATATTATACCTAAACAAGCTCAATATCTACCAACTCGTTAAGATTATGATTCATCTCCAATACTCAATTTCTACCCTTTTAATTTTCAACATTTATTCTCTTATTTGATTGTAGTAAATTTATAGAGCTAATCATTGCAACAAGTCCCATTTTTTTTCTCGGAATACGCATCTATTTATCCAAACCATTGTTTGGGTCCTCTGGATCCCCTGTTCTCCTTGTAAAACTTTCCACTCATTCTTAACACAGGGAACTTGGGAGAATTTTTGTTATGCATTAGGCACTTCTTTTAGATTTTGAGCTTCATAGGTCAAATCACTTTGTAATGACACATTTTGTGTTTTTATCAAAGAAATACATGGGAATGTTTTTCAAAAGTCAAGTAGTACTACAGGGTCATAATGAAAAATAGCATTCCCTAACTCCACTCTTAAATCTTCAACAGAAGCAACTAATTCAATTCTTCAAAGGGTTTTCTGTATTATCTTCATAGTTGTTAATAAAACATTTTTTCTGCAATTGTTTGCTTCACAAATTTTAGACATTGGCTTCTATGCTAAAAAAACAAAAAAAATGCAGATTTCACACTCTGCCAACCTATGACCCTATTTTTTTCTCATTTCCCTCACATCTCATAATATTTTCGATAGACAAAAATGAAGTTAATCTTTCTATAACTATGTAAATATTGGTCATGGCTGAGCAAAATAGTAGATTATAATTATATTTTCTTCCTGCAAATGTTTTGATCTTTTGGAAACTAATCATGTCCTTTAAAAAAAATTACTGAGGGCTGGGGATTTAGCTCAGTGGTTTCACCGCCTGCTGCTCAAGTGCTAGGTCCTGAGTTCAATCTCCGGTACCAAAAAATAATAAATAAATAAATAGTAAATTTAAAAAATGACTAAATGTTTCATTCCTGTCACTAATTTTTCCCAAACCTTGGAACTGAATTTTAAAACTCCCCTCAATCTTTTTTAGACACAACCAACATCGCTGTTGTATAAGTTTTGGTTCTGTTAATGAGATATTTTTTCTGGAGCTTGCCTCCTGGTACGCCCAGACTTCTGCAGTGACTGTTCCCAATCTTAGTGCTAAGGATCTGGGCCATTCACGTTTCTCCTCTGTTTCTTCTTCTTTGCATTCTGTTTCTCTCTCTCTTAAAAACTGTGTGATAGGACAGCTTCTTGCGCACTGAGTGTCTGAAAATGTCTTTCTTGCACTCTCATTTTACGAATATTTGGTTGAAATTAGAATTCCAAGTTGAATTTTAAGGCAGCATTTCCCTTCTTCTGGCTTCCAGTTCTGCTTTTGAGGTCAGAGCTCCTCTTAGCCTCCATCTGATCCCTGTCGTCTTCCCTGCCCACCCCTCTCTCTGGAAATCCAGCAGCCCTGTCTTTGGCATCACTGCTCCAAGAACACATGACAACGTGTGTCACTGCTCATTCTTATTTTTTATGCTGGGTTTGCAGTGGACACCTGCAATCCCGAGACTGGAAACTTTCAATTCTAGAGCATGAATTTTCTTTTATTATTTTAAAAATAATTTCCCCCTCTCCCTTAATTTTTCTTATTCTCTCTAAATTTACTTTTATTTGGATTTTGAATAATCCAAATAAGTATTCTAATTTTGTTTTCCTTTCTTACTTTTTAATTTTTTTTTCAACACTGGGGATTGAATGAATCAGGGCCTTCACCCTGAGCTCCATCTCCAGCCTTTTAAAAAAAAAAAACTTTTTGAGACAGTTCTGCTAAGTTGCTAAATTGCTCAAGCTGATCTCAAATTTCTATCCTCAGTTTCCCAGAGCAGGAGGATAACAGGTGTGTACTGCCATGCACAACTCCCTTGCCTTATTGATAGGATGCATTCTCTTCTGTTTCTAGGAATGGTAAAAATGGTTGGTGGTATTGTCATTGAAAATTTCCTTTTGACTTTCACATGAACAGATTCTCCTGTGGTCCCTTTATTTCAATGTCTGCTTGTTGTACTGGAGGTTTGTCTTAGAGCCCTGTTGAGGTACCAAAACGCTGAGAATAAACTTTGAGAACAGGGAGGATTTTCCAAGTATAAGGGATCCTGGTTATTTCATTAAGAGATCCCCAAATGTGAGTGTCTATTTTTTCCCCCTCTATCTAGTTTCTTGAAAATGAGAGATGAAAGGAGATTGTAAGTCTCACCATTTAGTGCGTTTCAGAACACACAGCTGTGACAATCTCCATAAAGCCAATGGATTGTCTATTTAATGGCCAAGTGTATGTGGGAGAAAGTATGAAAGACACAGCTTTCTACGTCCTCTCTCTGGAGAAGCACCGGGTACATTTGTTTATGAAAGACCGCCTGCCTTCGTTTAATTTAGTGTACTCAAAAGCCCTCTGACCAAACTACCTTTCAACTTTTTGGATTTTTCCTTTTTCCTGTTGAAGAGGAGGAAAAAAAGAAAGATATGTGTAATTGTATACTTTGTGGGTAGGGAACTATGTATAATTATCTATCACCTTACAACAGCTTATAACCATGAAACACTAAAAAATAATCACATAGGTCAAAGCTGTTCTATAAACAATAATTATAGCCATAAATGGGAGCCAAAAAAGTAATTTAAAATTTTTATCTGGTACATATTAAAAATACATACATAAAATTAATTTTAATATTTAGATTAAATTCATTATAGCAAGAATACTATCATTTCAACATCTAATTAACATAAAAATTATCAACAAGACAATTTGTTTTCTGTACTAAGCTTTGAAATTCAGTGTGTATTTTATACTTTCAATGTATGTTAATTTAAAATAGCTATATCCCAAATGCTGAGTAGCCACAAGTGGGTGATAGCTACCAGTATCAATAGAGATCTAGTCAGGAATCTTGACCTGATTTTTTTTTTATCTTTAGAAAGCATGTTTGTTTGTTTCTGGAATTAGGAAGGTTATATCTGATTTATTTTATAGATTTAAAAAATTAAATAGAAAGACATCATATGAAAACTTCCAGATTTCTAGATGCCCTTGAAAATTGAGAGGTTTGGGCCATTTGACAACATTCTCCATGACAAGCCATGATCTGCTGGAGCTCATAACTGTTGCTTCTCCTCAGTTGGCCACATTCATGGGTGAGTTTCATGTATTGACATCACCTGGCTGCCTCCTATAGTGATTGGAATTTCTAACTCCAAATCTAGGTCAACCTCTTTTTCTTACAGACCAGAAAACTGTGACTCAGAAAACTGAAGTCATTTGTCATTCGAGCTAGAGATGTTGACAGACTAAAAGTAATAGCTGAGTCCTTGATAACACTATCTAGGGACACCACATGGTTTTCTTAGCCCCACATTTGAATGTTTTGCATTTCAGCTAGCCAGTTTTTCTTCTTTTCCTCCAGAATGTACAGAGCCACTGCTCAGAATCTTTTTTTTTTCTAAAAGCGACCCACATACTCATAGATGCTCCATTTCTGGATAGTTATCTTAATCTGATAAAAGCAATGTTGACTTTAAAGAAATCCATTGTTTTGAACTTGTAAAATATCCCTACCTATTTTCTAGTCTCAGTATGGTTTATTTAAGATAAAACTTTAAAAATATAAACTGTTTACTATACTACAGAATTCCTTAATATCAGTAAAATGAATTCCAAACTTGAAAAAATAACTGTGCTTGCCATTCTCCTGAACTAACACAAGCATTAGATTGGAATTTAAAATATTAATAAATTTTATAAATGAATTCAGACACTATATATATGTGTGTGCGTATATATATATGTATATATATACATATATATATGTGTGTATATATATATAGAGAGAGAGAGAGAGAGAGAGAGAATACAGTTTATTCACATTTTGTGGGGGTTTTTTGTTTGTTTTTGTACCAGGGATCAAATTCAGGACTTGCCAGGCAGGCAGGGAGCCACTGAGCTACATCCCAGCCTGAGATACATTTTTTAAAACATGTGAAACTAACTGAGGGAAATAAAAGTCAGAAGAGCAGTTATTTTTTAGAGAAGAAGAGGTGTATTGACCTGAAGAACCTTCTGGATTAGTAGACATGTTGCATATTCTTATGTTAACGGTGATCACACAAATTTTATATATGTGTGTGTGTGTGTGTGTGTATTGCTTCTTTTATTGATTCATAGGTTTATTTGTTTTAACTTCTAAATCAGATGCAGATGCCTTTATTTACCTGAAAGGAGTCAAATAATTGAACTAATAAGCTACAGAGCCCCAGTCCAAGGACAGAAGGAGAGGCAAGCGAAAATACATCTTTAGGATGACTTACATACTAACATTAGTTACCTCATAATGAACTGATACACAATAATCAGGCCTTATATATGCTAAGACATGCAGTCATCTAGTTTGGGTTCCTTCCCAGAGTTTACCTTTGCCTGCGCCCCGGGACATTCAGAGAGTGACAGATTCCAGTAAAGGTAATGTGTGACAGTGTACCCAGATTGCATTTTTTCTGGTTTCTTTATTTTGTTTACATTGCATCAAGTACCTAAATAATTATTTCAGACATGTTCAAAGCCAAACAGAAAAAGGTTGAAAATATTGTGAAGGAAAAGAGAAAATGTGTTTGCCTTTATTCTTAAAGGAGCAGTAAAACTTCATGGAATTTAGCGTGATTAACCAATATAATCGTTTTTCTAGAATGAGTGAGAACCATATTCTTATTCCTCTGCTACCACAAATACTAAGCAGTCAGTCACTGCAATGTCTTTTGTGGTGTATTTGTGGGTTTATATCATGTCACTTTTACAAGAATCGTAATCCTTAATTGCTTCAGAGTTCATTCAGTTTAAAATATTTTCCATCAAAAGCCATGTTCAAATAAATACTTGGAATAAAAGGGGAAGTAGTGATGGGTTTTGAAAACGTGGCTTTTAAAAAGCAACTTTAACTATTTCATGCCCTAAATTATAAATTATACCTATTTCAAATGTCACTTGCGTAGTAGATTGCTTTCTGTTTATGAACACAATATTATTTTGTGATCCCAACTGTTTCAGTCCTGTTGGTTTATAGTATTTCAAATAATTTTTTAAAAGACCTTAAGATAGAAAGACCTCATAGTCTTTGGCAGCTAATCCAGAAGCTTCTTTAAAACAAATCTGCAGGGGACAGATTCCAGAAGGAAAATTGCTTTCAAGCAATAATTTTCTTTCAGATGTTTCAACAATGCAGAGTCAATCAATTTTTCAAGTTATATAAGAAACAAAAAAAGATAATGTTTTTAGATGAATTTCACTCTTTACATCACCACCTTTAAATATTAAAATTTTCTTTTCTTTGCTCTTGCAGAAAATAATAAATTATTACCCTTTGATATGGGAAGAAAAATAATTGAGAAAAGCTAGGTCTTCATTCCCTTGCCAGTTGATCTCCTAATATTCAGAAGCTGTTTATATAAATGAGATATTTGCTTTTTAAGCTTTATTTACAGATTTTGCCAGATGAGCATGTAGCCTGTGAACTATAATTGTGGATTTCCAGCTGTTACCAGAAATCTTGGTATGCAGTTTGGGAGCCTGCAGCATGTTTATGAATCAGCTACTGGTAAGCCTAAAATAATATCAACTATTAATGATTGGCAAACCCACTGAGAACAGCCTGCTGATTCAGGACAACCATGGAATTATAGGGGTAAATGTGCTCTTAACAAGCCTTCTCAGTTTTTTTCTCCACTTCGGGCTTGAGTTGACTGTAGTTAAATGAGCCTAAGTAGAGGAGACATTCTGAATTTTAAAGACCAACCACTACAGTAATTCAACAACTCCCTTTAGGAACATACCATGATATTTTACCACCCTTCTTTGCAGAATATTTTTTCCTTATTTGTAATCAAAAGCCCTCTGGTTGCAGTTGAAATCTGAGCTAGGTCTGTGATTTTTCTACTTTGAGGAAGTGAAATGCTTTCCATGGTCTGGAAGTCCAACCCCTAAAACAGAAGCCATTAAGGGGCTGGAAGGGGAAGCATTGATTTTTCTGCCCGTGGTCACCCACATCACCCTCCTTCTCAAGTAGTACACCAATAAACAGTTCCTTTCCTTCTCATCTTTTCCAGAGCATGCCTAGCTGATTATACTCCTGAAATATAATTGAATGAACCTTCCCAGATCCCTAGTTTAGGGATTTAAAAAAAGAATAGCAAAATTTAAATGAAAATTCTTTGGTGGTTGATCACGTATTCTCTTTGATGTTCTAAGTGACATCCAGGCTGCGACGTTTTAGGGACAGAGACCAAGAGAAGAGACCAATACAGTAATCATGGGGCACAGAGGGCACAGGGCTGCAATGCTTATTTAAAAATCCAAGTTGCTCATGTTGGGGCTGAGAGCAGAGCTGACCACTCCTGAGATGGAACTATTCTCCAGCCTAAGGCAGAAGCCATACCACTGTTTAAATGCTATTTTCTACTCTGGGTCATGATTGATACTTAGAATAACATAGGTACGCTTGTTGGTATGAACAAGATTACTAGCTATGAAAAGGGAATCCAGAGTTGAGTCTAGAAGCCAAGTCAGATCCTAAGAAGCTGTCTCTATTTATGAAGTAACAAAAGCATTCCATACCCAATAGGATTGTTGTAGAATCTATGGCAACTTAGTGGAATATTATGTAGTCATTCAGAATAATGACTCTCAATGTGTTGCAGCATGAAAATCTATTATGCTATTGAGTATTTTTGTTGACTATGGCTGCCATAACAAAAATATCATAGAATGAGTGCCTGTAACAAAAGACATCAATTTTCTTGAAGTTTTGGAGGCTGAATATCCAAGATCAAGGTATAGGCAGGGCTGATTTCTTCTAAGTTTCTCTCCTTGGCTTCTTGGATAGCTAGCTGCCTTCTCCCCATGACTTCACATGGACTTTCCCCTGTGCAGATGCATTCCTAGCTCCATGCCTACAATATCTTCTGCTTATAAGGACAGCAATCAGACTGGACCCACCTCAAGGGACTCAATTTAACTTAATTACCTTTCTAAATGCTTCCTCTCCAAAAACAATCTCAGTATGAAGAGCTAGATATTTGAATTTGAGGGGAGGAGGGAGAGACATACCTCATAATATAAGCAAAAAGGAAAAAGGTTCAAAGTGAAAATGATGATTTGAGTGTGAATATCCATCAGGTATGAGGTTTCTTATTGATTATCATCTTTAAATCTTACAGAAGCACTGACCACCATTTAAAAAGAAAAGATAGAGCTCAAAGAATTGAATAATTGGCCAAAGAAAGGCCAACCGTGGTGGAGCACGCCTGTAATCCCAGCATGTGGGAGGCTGAATTTGAGGCCAACCTGGGCTATATAGTGAGTTAATTGCCAGCCTGAACTACATAGTGAGACTCTGTCTCAAAAATAAATAAATAAATAAATAAATAAATAAATAAATAAATAAATAAATCAGCAAGGGACTCAGTCATTAAATATAGAAAATGGAATTTAAAGTCAGGTGTGTACATTGTAAAAATTCATATTCATATTCTTTTCACTGTACCAGATTGTCTATCCTGTAAATGGGCTTGTGATAAATTACAGTAAAGTTATCTGATTTTTTCCATAACAGTGTTATTTCATACCAAATAAAAGAGACATAAATAGCTATGGTTGAGAATTAAATATATGCCAGGCCACTTTGCTAGATGTCATGAGGTCATGGTGGATGGATAAAAAGGTTAAGATACAATCCTGACCCCTAGGGAGAGGAGATATTTGAATGCACAAATGCATAAACTGCTAAAGTTAAGAAACTAGATGTGATAACCACCTGAGTGTTCAGAGAAGGTGCAGAAATCAATTTACTTATTCACATTATACTTACAAGTAAGTTTTTGGAAAACTATCCAAAGTATATCTTGATGGTATGTCATATGAGTTAATTAACTAACTCATTCAATTACAGTGGACCTTCTAGTTACGACCAGCCTGACATACAAACAACTTGGGCTAATTAGGTTAATGGAAGATTCCTCTGCCTCTTGTCATCTAGAGTGTGTACCCAGGTAAACATCCAGATCTCAGCTGTATTGACTTACAAACAACTTGAGCTATAACAAGCTCTCGGGAACCGATCAAGTTCATAAGTCAAGGGTCCACTGTATATTTGTTGTGGACCTACCCTGTTTCAGACATGAATATATACTTATGAATAAAACAAGAATGTTTGCCTCTAGCTTCTAGAGTGTTTTCCAAGGTGGGGTATTCAGGTACTATGCATTAAAAACTATCTGTAATGCTTGTTTAAAATCAGATTTCTGGACTGTATTCCAGATCTTCTAAATCAGACTATCTAAAGATTAGGCCTGGGATTCTCAGTTTCTAAGAACTCACCATCTAAACTGTGTGATCTATTGGCCTACAGGAAACTCAATAAATGTGAAGAGCCCTGTAGTAATAATCAACTGTGGTATTACAAATTACTCCAAATGTAGAGACTTAAAAGAATAAATGTGTTTATTTCACAGATTTTCTGGGTCCAGAAACTGGGCACAGGTTTATCTGGATGCCTTCACCTCAAGGTCTCTCACAAGCCACTGGGCTTCAAGTCTTAAATGTTTAACCGAAGAAAGAGCCACTTCCAAGCTCAACTTGAGGCATGGGTTGCCAGAATAGGAGAAAAGGAAGCAGAAATCACTATAAAGAAGCGCAGAGGCTGGAGAAAGATCAGTGCATTCAGGGAAACCTATTTGTTCCTTGGAAGTCTTAGTCCTTTTCAAAGGTCCATCGGCTCATTTCTGGGGACTTGAGAATAGAATCTCATCTCTGCACTACCAATAGCGCGGACTTCTTTTTTTCAAATAAACAAGATTACAAGATTCTAAATTTACTAAAATCTTTCATGACATGTAAACCTCTTCAGTTCGGGGTTTTGTTATTGACAATGAACAATTCAGTCTCCAAAGTATTTTTAAAGTATGTTTTGTTGGAACAAGCTGTGTGGTTTTCCTTTCATCTGTCTTTGTTGTGTCAGAAGATTTTCATTCAGAATGAATCTTCCTTTTGTCTGATTATTGGCTTAATTCATCAAAGAAGCATGATTCAGGTATAGGTAAGGAAGGAAGAGAGAAATAGAAGGAGGCAAGGGGGAAAATGAGAAGGAAAAAGAAAAAAACTACTGGGTATTTGGACTCTATAGCTGACTGAGAAAAAAAATTCTTTTCAACAGAAGCCTGAAGTTAATCTGAGCAGCAGTGCGGACTGGAATAAGTTCATTTGGATTTTTCAGTCTGTATCAAATAACCTAAATTCAAAGTAGAGAACTGTGGTGTCCTGGAAAAAGCTCTGACCTCAGCGTCTGGGAGACAAGGGCTTTGCTGGTCTTGGTTCAGCCACTCACTTGATGAGTAGGCATGCGTAATTCAATTAACTTGAGAGAACCCTGTGGTTCTCAAAGTGTGGTTATAGGACTAGAAACTTGTTAGAAATGCAAATTTGAAGCCCCATCCCAGAACCATTGAATCAGGAAAAAACTCCAGAAGTGGGGTATAGGACTCCTTATTTCAACAAAAATACATTTCATTCTAATGCATACATATATTTGGCAAACTGTGAGCCAGATAATCTGGGAATTTTTTTCCAGACTAAAATCTATGAACTTCTGAAACTTCTAGGGGTTAAAAATATATAATTGACATGGTGAAGCTTTCCAGTAAAAAATGAAGGTGATGCTGGGGACTACACAAAAAAGTAGGTGTTACAGAACTTCTACTACATAGTATCTGGGAGAAACCATCTGTGCACATTACTATTTTAGCCCCTATCTTGTGCAGGCAAAGGAAACCAGGTACGGGTCGATTAAGCTCTGTTATTCAGAGTCACAAAGCAAATAATGGCAAAGCCAGAACTCGTATCCAGGAATTCTAATGTGTTTAATGTCCTCCTCTGTACATGTTATTACTGTTTCTGTTCCAATATGAGTTTAGTTTCCACATTTTACCCACATGTTTTCTAGATGTAGAAGTCAAGCATTATCTATCTATAGATATTATTTTGACTCCATTTTATCTGTGGTACCAATGGTCTTTTTTTAAAAAAAGAACAGATCAATATAGAGCACAAATATATGAGTACATCAAGAAAGAGATGTGAGTTCCAATAAATACATTCTTTGAAGCTCCTAAGTATAGTAATTCTATTTTGGCTGGATGCCTACCAGCTGAATTTCCTGAATTTTCAGTCAAACTTTCATCTATAACATTGATGGTGCCCTTAAGATAAAGGGACCCAGGTATTAACCGTTCAGTAATTACCAACTATTAGATCTTCCATGGTACTTGGAAAACATCATCCTCTTAAAAGATATAACAGGTAGTAATGGCTAATGGCCTAATTTGCTTCTAACTTTTATTAATGAGTAGTAATAATATTATTAAAAGTATAACAAACAGCAAGACTGAGGAAATCCCAGACCAGAATAGATTTTCTAACTCCTTCCAAAAGTCGAAATGGATAATAAGTAGATGCTTGTGGCCAGTTATTCTCATTTGAGATCCCATAACCTATGTCACAAGACTGTCCCATTACATTCCTGTTTAAGAAATACACCTAAAACTGTCTACCTAAAACTGTTTATAATCTAAAGTAAGTAAATGATTGTCCACTTCCCCTTTTAAAATAAGTTTATAGTTTTACAGTCTTACATTCTATCAGTGCTTGCTCTCTCTCTCTCTGTCTCTCTCTCTCTCTCTCTGTGTGTGTGTTTGCTGCTCTATACTAATTCCTTTAATCTGGAATCAGAAAAAACATCTTTAATAGACATGCATAAGATGAAGCTTTAAAATAGCATATTTTAAAAAGACACCATAAGTTTATTTTAAAACTTTCCTTTAAAACTTCCTCTCTTTAATCTATCTTTAATTTCTTGTATTTTGAAATATCTCATTTTTCTTCTCTATCTTTTCATAGGTCACTGCTTAGAAATCAAGTCCTAGATCACTCCTTGGAAATCAATTTATGAAGAGAGGGCTCAGCCTTACAGCTGTCCCTGTCAGAACCCCAGACATTCGAGGGAGTTTATCCTGCGTGTCCCAGGCTCACTGGGGCTGCCAGCCCAATGGACCTGAGTGGGTGACTCCAACTGATGCCATGAGAAGAACAGCACCCAACTACGCTCAACCAACCTGGAGAATTGAGCAAAATAAATCAGTAAGTTGTGGCACAGCCTGTTGCTCTGTAATAGAGAACTAAAAATCATCTTATTTCAGCTTTGCAGCATGCATATATATATATATATATATATATATACTGGGAATCGAACTCACGACTTTGTGCTTGCGAGTCAGGCGGCAGCACCACTGAGCCAAATCCCCAGCCCTGCAGCTTATATTTTGATTACTGTTTCCATATCATTCCTAAAAGCAGTCTGTTGTACCAAGCCGAATGCATTTTGTTGAAACGTCACTTATTTTCCAAACTCATGACTGAATTTGTCAATTCACAAACGCGCACATGCACGCGCATACACACACACACACAGTAAAATTTCACATCAGGCAAGATCTATATGTTGCTTTCTGATGCTGTTTTTATTCTTCGTATGCTAGCTTTGAAGTGACAGATCAATTTTATTTTTTTTTATTTAATTTTTTTTTGTAATGGGGATCAAACATGGGTCCTTGTGCTTTTGAGGCAGGCAGCGGAACCTCTGAGCTAAATCCCTGGCCCCTAGTTCAGTTTTAAAGTTGACTTCTCTTTTGATTATTTTCAGATTGTTTATACAAGGGGTGATCAAAAATATGGTGAATGTTTAAATTTTTTAAAAAATACTTACCACATTGAAAATACATTGCCAAGAGTGCTGAGCTAAGTGTATATGAAGTGAGGGGAAGTATTTTTGAATATTTTGAAGGAGATTGATGGCTGTGTGTTTTTTCCTGCAATAATTTTTTATTTAAACATTCATTGTATTCTTTGATCGCCTCTCACTGATGAAACATCTGTGGCAGTTTATATCAAATAAAAACGTCATGATGTGTTCTCAAGTGCTTCATTCACTGGATTTGGCACCTGATTTCTGGCTCTTCCCCAAAGTCAAGATGACCATAAAAGTTAAGGGTTTTGGATCAATTCAAGATATCAAGGCAGCCACAACAGCACAACTGCAGACCTTCAGGAAAGAGGACTTCCAGAACTCCTTCAGAAAGTAGCAAGAATGATGGGATAAATGTGTTCAAAGTGAGGGGGAGTATGCTGAGGAGGATTAATGACAATAAATATCTTAGTGTAATGTGTTTTTTATATTTAAATATCCACCATATTTGTTGATCACATCGCATACCATGTGCCAATTTCTTTTGCCCCAATAAACTTTTACTCCTCTGCAATTAATGGTAACATAAATTCACCAGAAAAACAAACCAAAACAAAGTGCTGCTGCATCTGTGTGTGTGTGGGGAGTGCATATGCATAAAAGTGTATACATTTTAACCTCCCATCTACTATAATTAAACTTGTCCGTGCTTGTTGTAATCTGTGATCTGAGAGGCTTAAACTAAAATTTATCTGGCTCAATCCCCAGAATGTCTAAACTTTTCCCAGCACTAAGAAGAATGACTTTTACACCCTCTGTACACATCTGTACCCCATACTCCTGCAGTTAGCTTCCCCCCTCCCTGCCATTAATCCCCTAGGTTGCTTCTTGCCAAAGATGTTCTGCTGCTTGACAGAACACTAATCTCCAAGAATTTCAAAGTATCAGCTTACCTGTAAACGCCCAGAAACTGTCTCCATCCTTAGTCTCATCCCCTTTTATGTTTCCTACATCTTTGAACAGATGCATTGCTTTCTGTCTGAGAATGAGGCTTACATTCTGTTGTGGTTAGGAGGGATGCTGACCTGAAGGCACACCGTTCCCTCTTAACTCAAAGAAGCAAGATCAACATTCAGAATTGCTAGTGGCAAAATCAATTGGTAGAAGGACAGGTCACCCATGCGCAGAAAACTCGAGTAAGCGCAGGGAAGAATCCTTTGTTAAATTAACATGGAGGCTTTTGCTGAACTAAAATAAGTCTTGGAGAAAGAAATAACAGGCAGAAGTGGGCAGGTATGATGTAACACGGGAGAGTTCTCTTTTAGTGTTAATCTCCCCTTCATGGTTCTACATGTTTGTAACAGGAGAGAAGAGTTAGTACAAAGGGAAAGTGCAAATTGACAGTCCTAGGACTCCAATTCAGGTCAATTTATTACTAAGAAAGAAGTTGAGCTGTGAAATGAAAAACTGAGTTCCTGAGCAGATGAAGGCTCTGAAGCTGCAGTATTCCTTCACTGAGAAACTGCTGTGGATTTAATAGACTCCCAGGAAGTGCAGCTGAGGGGTCTGCTCCAGTCTGCAGCATAAGCCCAATTTTCAATTCTAATGAGAGGCAAGGTTCTCCTACTTCAAACTAAATGGCAATGATATGCAGCGTCCTCTTTTGCTGAAATGATGACTTCTACATTTGCTAACCTTGCATAGAACCTCATCAGGCCTGTTGGTAACGTGAGGATAAAAGGTGACATGGGAATGTCCAGCTCCTCCTCCTCCTCCTCCTCCTCTTCTTCCTCCTCTTCCTCCTCCTCCTAAACCCAGCAATACACAGGTCCCCTTTTCTTAGCTGTGCTGCTGAACTCTGTGGAATGTCACCGAGTTTGCTACAATCTGACAATGAGACTGTACTTGGAGTATTTACTAATGCAGCTCAGGAAATGCTGTGATCTAACAACAAGTTTCGACAGCATATTGAAGTTTGCCACACTCGGTGATCAGCGCACCACATGTATACTTCCAGCTCTTTAAGCTGGTGGGGGAGTGGGAAGCATGAACTAAAACCCATCCGAAGATTCAGAGTCAGAAAAGGTTAATGGTATATGAATTTGTGGGCTGATTTCCCCAGAACCCCAACCCTGCAAGGTAGGGGTGATCTGCCTGTGCTTGTGTTTTGGGTGGCAGAAGACTCTCATCTCCTAATGCTTCACATTGAATAAGAAAAGCCAGAAGAGAGAGGGATGCTGACAGAGGGTAGAAAAGTAGCCTTATTTTGAAATGGAAATTAAAAGAAGTTTAAGAAGCAACTAAGATTCTTTTGCTCTTTCCCCTTCTTAGCACACATGATCTCGACCAGTCCACACCTAGACTGAATTCAGCATTGCTCCTGGGTACCTGAGGACCCAAAAACTTGGATTGACTTCAAAGGAGATGATTAAAGGAAGGGGGAATTGGAAGTGACTCCCTTGAGAAAAGATTAAAGGAGGCCACTCGAGGAAACTGACTGAGCAACAGCTGGGGAGCAAAATGATAAAAGCTACAAATACCTGGAATGTGCAAACACCAAGTAAGGGAAACAGTCCTCGTTACACATTAGCAGAGGAAAGTTTTGGCTGAGAAGTAGAAAAGCCTTGTGAGAGAAAGTGTTCAATTAGCCAACGGATTTCGGAGTAATGAAAGTGGAGGCTAGACCAGGAGGGACGTTGTATAAGCAAGCCCAAGAGATTTCCAGGAGGCACATGATAATGAGTGCTTGGGCATTTGGAAGCTCCATGGCCTAGACAACCTCTCCCAGCAAAACTCCCATAACTGAGGCTAGTTCAGGTACAATTGACATGAATTAATTTATTCGGTCTTCTAAAAGGTAACTGGTTACTATAGAGAAAGGGTATCGAAAACCTTCAGAAATCACAGGCTCAAAAAGCCAGGTCTAATGTTGAACAATTTACTACAAATTGTAAAGTGGAAATTAAATGCATAGCATCTCAGTGCACTTAATGAGGTGAGGAACAACTGTGAGACTTCTAATGAAAAGTGAAAATAATTGAAAAAAGGCATTTCTTGTAAATGCAGGCTGCAGTAATAAGAACCACTGCTGCTTTGAAGCTTTCAAACAATCCATTCTGATGACTAAAAAGGATCACTTTTGCTTAAGGAAGTCATTTTGTACTTGTCCTCCTAAAATTCCTACTGTGACCTTGCTAATAAAAGTGTGCTAGCTTTCCCAAGAAATGCTCCCCTATTTCAAATCTTAGAACAAAGTTTAGAGAAATTTTAGAAACAATTTGCATAATCACTGATGGAATAATTTGCAATGTTAAAATTGTCTCCTATTTAAATTGGACCAAATTCTTCTTAAGGATGGTTTTCCTCTGTTTTGGGGAAAGGTTGGGTTCATAAAGAGGCTTTATAGAATCTAGTCAACTAAAATATCTTGAGATATAAAACCCAATGTTTACCTATACACTTATAAACTATGTTTTTCGTAACTAGGTAAGATTACTGACAGATGGAACTCTTTTTGATACACTGTTGCTGATTTCCCATTAGTTTTTACCCTATTAGAGCCCCATTTTTCTGATAAGTTGGACAATTCTCCCTGTGATAAGCTATGCCCTCTGACCTCATTTAACTGTGCATACCTCTATTTGCTCACTGGTAAATTTTACAAGGGTCCACCACTAGAACTAATCAATCGTGAGCCTGCTTTAATTTGAAATTGCAAAGTCCTTTGCTACAATAAACACCCCCCCAAGATTTCCTCCAGAAGTATTTAATAATCTGCTTAATTGCACTGGCAGACACAGGTAGGGTTAATTTGGGGGTCTGGTTATTCCCTCTGGTTGCCACCTCCTTGTCTCCATAATTGGTAAACAAAGCAAATCAAAAGAAAAAAACATCTTAGACCTAAATATATTATTCTCTTGTATGTGATGAATGTTATTTTTAATCCTTCAATTATTGCTTTTAACATCTTCCTTTCCCCCTTTTCTTTCCCTAAAGAAACATGCAAAGCCTGCAGAGGTGAACATTACTTCACAGAAGCGCCTACCACAGAGTGGTGGCTATTTCCCTTCTCACCAGCAATTTCAGCTTCCCAGTTGTAGTGTTCAGCTCCGTTTTACATCAATAGTGATTCCATGCAGAGCCGAAGCTCTGAACGCGAGAAGGGTAAGAAACCATCCTTCAAATTGCTGTCACAACTTGAAGTGAAAGAGAGCCCAGAGATCAGCAAAGAGGCCACAGGATCTGAAAGCCAAGTGGGATCAGATCTATTGGAGAAAGTTTCCCAAGATCAGGTTCCCAGAATGGCAATCACTCATCCCGTGAGGAAGAATGAGCACACGTGTGTTCACTGGGGCCTGCTCAACGGTCTAGGGTTACCTAGAAACATTTCCTTGTGCTTCTCCAGGGAATATATTTTTGTACAAAAATCTCATCTTATTACATAAAAGCTCAGTAACTTATCAATGTATTAATTTGCCATCTGTGGCTTGCCCAGCCTAGAAGCAGCAAGACTACAAAAGGGATTTTAAATATTTAATTTCCAAGTTATAGGCAGTCTACCTTAACTTGTTTTTATTACCTTTAATTAGCTTACTAATCTTCCCATTTCCTTGTTGAATAACTGCTAACTTAATGTGTTTCCATAATGCATTTTTAAATTACTGCTTTAAAAAATTCAGTGCTGATTTCCAGTTTTGGCTCACTGTATTAATTATCTATAAATATGTGTGAGATTTCTTTCAGCAGATCCTCACCATCTCCTTATTATCCCTATATAGACACTTTAAAGTGCTACAACAATTCAAAGTTCAACCTCCCTGTAATTTACTCAACCTTATAATTGATATTTATAAGATCAGGGGACCTGGAAGGGAAGAGAAATATTAGCCAGCCCCGTTCTAGCTCGGAAATCTTTAATTTGGATTTAGGTGTCAGGATCTTGTTTTCAGAGACAAACAGGCCCGCCCTCCTCTGTGCTCAGTTATGCACGCCTCTCCTCTCTGGACACAGTTTCTCTTTTTAAGCAAAGGATGTCTTCCTGAGCTCATTCCTTCCTGCAAGCTTCAATTGAGAAGGAAAGTGAACAAACCAGTTTGTCCTGGCGACAAGGAGTGGAGTCATTGGACTCTTTTTAGCATTAGCAGGGTAGAATGAATAATGAAATGCCTAGGTTTTAGCTCTTAGCGTATGCAATGAGGAACAAGTCACTGTTAATCATAGAAACTCTATTTTCACATCCATACAATACAGATAAAATTTGCCCAGTATAAAGCCCAGCACTGGGCACAGTGAAATGAGACAACACAGACACATAATTATGTGATTTGAAAACAGCAAAATGCTGAACAATACAAAGGTGTAATTATCACTTCCCTACCAGGGTCTTCGGCAGTGCCTAGATCAATGGTTCTCAAAGCATGTCCCCTGGACCAGTGACATTAGCTTCACCTGGAAACTGATTACGATCCTTCTGAATCCAAAACCCAAAGGTAGCCCAGCACTGTTTTAAAGTCCTCCAGGTATTTGCATCATACCACAGTGGGAGAGCCAGTGACCAGGTGTCATCTGTGATGAGGGCATTTGAGGTTAGATTCTCTATTAAGAGTCATAAAAGCATCTAGGGTCCATGAAGGGAAAAAGAAAATGAGAAAGCTCTTTGTGCCTCTGTTATCCATAGGCAGCAGTCACAAGTAATGGTTAAAAGTTTGTGTCCTGAAAACAGATTGCCTAGAGTTAAACTTTGACTCTCCTAGCTTGGTGATTTTTGATAAGGTACCAAATCTCCGTGTCTCAAGGGCTCACCTGAAGATATAATGAAGTAACATAGTTCATTCCTAGGAAACGTAGTGCCTGCCATGCAGCAGACTCTCAAACCACATTACCTATTATTATTCTCTGAATTTGAATCTCCAGACAGCCCATAATAGTGTACTTGTGCCATACTGCATAGTTATCAGACTGTGTAAATACAGTGAGAACAAAGGAAATATCATACATCATTTTAAGAGTACATGTATATATGGCTACCTGGAAGACCCACCCAGGCAAACACAAAAGACAAATTCACAGAAGAATCCGAAATACTCTCCCCAGTGTACAAGTACTCACCTCTTCTTTGCTTGTCGCCCTGAAGATGTAGATTTATGATTCCTCATAGTGGCTCTCTGAAGATAGATACTGTTCCTATGCAACTTCAAGGAACAGGAGGCAGAGCTGGAGAAAAAGAAAGTCTAGCTGATTATTTTTATGAAGACATAGAATCAATTTCAAACAGAAAAAAATAAAGGTGTCTAAGGATTCACCACTTAGTGGAGCGAGGGTAGTCATTAATTTCAGGAACAACATAGAGTATATATTCATTAATCCATTTGTGAGGTATTCAGAGATTTCCAGGTACAATGCTTATTACTGACATTAAATGTACTGCAACTGCTAGAATCAGACAATGAAATAATACAAATAAATCCATGTGCATGAGAAAAAAAGCCTTGGGACATCTGTGAGACACGACAATTAAGGTGAGCTAGACAGCAACCCTTCTGAAAAAGAAGAATAAGGGAATCAAGGGCTTTCACAGTGGCTTCATGAAGGATTATTCAAAGATCTGAGCGCAAAAATAGAAGCCCTGCAGGCAAAGTGGAAAATACAGGCTGGAACCAAAGAGACTAAAAGGGAGAATCCTGATAGAAAAAACAAGTCAGGGTTATCCTCGAAGGTGAAAGAGGCCCAGGGCAATGGTGTTCTTTCTTTCCTAGCTCAAAGAGGAAGACTTGTTAGGAGAAGTGCCCCTTCGCCAGCACAGCCAACTCTCAACTTGCCAGCCAGATCTACTCTTTAAGTTCATTCCTAAGTCAGCAAGTTAAACTCAGAAAACATTTTCCCGTGGAAACATTATTCATGGTGGTTTGGCTTTCTGGACAACCCACAATAAGATATTTAGCCCAAAATGAAATTGAATACAGAACCTAATCCTTAAAAATATGATTTCGACAGCCTCTAACCAGGGTTTTTAATATTGTGTCTTTGGGAAAACAGAGTTCAAGTTCAAAGGTGGGATGTATCGGCTGGGCACAGGCCTGAAGCCAGCTGCTGAACTGTGTCCTCTCTGCTTAGAACCCTTTCCCCAGATGACCTCAGGACTGGGCCCAAACAGCACACTTGCAGGGAGGTCATTTCTGACACCCTAATCTAAACATTTCAACACTCTGTCCCCACTGCCCTCCTGAACTCTCTCTTTGCTTTATTTTTGTCCATAATACACCATTTGACAAACTCTCTATTTCTGTATTTATTTACTTCTTGATTTGCAACCAACAGGAGAATATAAACTCAAGGAAGGCAGAGATTCTTGTTTGTTTGCTCAGTAATATAGCACTAGTGTCTGATACATACTGGACACACAAAACATAATTGTTGAAGGTATTTATTTGTTTGTTTATTAACTGTAGGTTGCAGAGCTGGGGCTGAGCCAGGGACCATGAAATCTTCAGAGACCTGCCTGAGAAACTGGGTCTCTAAATCAATCTTCCATCAAATGCTCCACAACGGAGAGAGAAATGTGCCTATGTTGGAGGAGGAAGGCTGGAAGAACAGCGGGCATTATGCATGAAAGATTCCTGGCCTGGGAGCAAATAAACTTCCAGTTCTTCTCCTGTCTCTGATACTCACTAGTACATGACCTTGGACCAGACACTGATGCACCAGAGCCATCACTGCTCTCTGCTTTTTAACAGGAAGATCTTGCTCTTCATACCCTGCAGTGCTGTTGGTGAAGATCAACTGAGTAATCCATGTGCAAGTGCTCTGAAAACAATAAAGTGCATCATAAAATAAGCAGCTGATGATGATTAAAGGGTAAAGTACATAAAGAAATCTACATGGATTGTCTGTGGGATACAGGGGCTGTATTTTTTTTTAATATAACCATCTATGAGGCTTAGCTCAATAATGAACATGTGAAAAGTGGTAGGAAGGCTGTGTGCAATTGGCATTCTTGATAAAAGGGAAAGAGCTTAGAAAAATATTCAAGGAATAGGATGCAGAAATATTTAGAGTTGGAAAATTATATCTTCCTTCAAATGCAACTTTCTCAAAGAAGCATTTCCAGGCAGCCTCACCTTTTATCTTTCTCACCATCAAAAAATATAATCTCTCTGTAATAGCTTCTATCACAATGGGTAATTATATAGGTAAAACATATAATTTATTTGCTTACTCCCTACCTCCCCTTACCATCCCTATGCTGCAGGTTCCACAACCACAAGGCTATTTTTTTTTGTCTTGCTCACTAACAAATACTCAGAATCTAGCATGGTTCCTGCCACATAGCAAGCACTTAATAAACATTGGTTGTGTGATCAAATTAATGAGTAGGTAAATGAATGACTATCGGGACAATGAATGGATGGAGACATAAACACAAACGCATGTACATACACCAGCTGGAAAGATAGGGTTTTAACAGCAGAACTGAGTTTGTCTGGCAATTCTTTCCACCAGTGAGCTAACAATAAAATATAATGATGTTTCATTCTGTGTTAGCGAAAGGGGTTTTCCTGATAGAATGGGTGGCTAATGTCTTCTGAATGGCCCTGGATGATCTGCAAACCCTCACCCCCCCATACTGCTCCTACTTTTCATTCAAGCTTTGGCATTAGCACAGGCACAAGCAAGTCCTGCTTGACCTGCTAAACTTGCCAGGCAAACCCTACTTAATTACAGGCAGAGAAGCCTGGCAATTGCTTGCCAGTCTGTCTTCAGACAGGTTTGTCCAGCAAGGACCAAATAAGTGTGTCTATTGTTTCACTCTGGTTGATGGGTCTGTAGTGGGAGGGGCAGAGGCTGTGTGGGGAACTAAAACTGTTAGTATAAAGATCCGCTAAAAGGCTCTCTTCTAACAAATCTCCCAGGCACTGGGCCTGAGCTGAATGGGGACACGGGTCGCAGCAGCTGGGCACTGGTATCTAACAGAGTGGGTGGATATTGAGGAGGATAAGGGCCAAGGGAAGTAGACCACAGCTCTGCAAAAGGCTGATTCCACCTGTTCCACAAGATGGCTTATCGAGAAGGGCTCCAATTTAGGAGTCAGGCCTCCAATGGATTTGAAGCTCACTTACTGTGTTGTTTATAATTTTCTTTCATCATTTTGTAAAATGTGGGTAAAAATACCTATTCTCCGTGTTGTTCAGGCTAGAAAAGTACATAATAAGAATTCAAAAATTATAGTTTTTATCGTTATTTTCTGGCTTTCTTTTTGGTTTTTTTTGGTACCAGAGATCGAACTCAGGACCTTGTGCTTGCTGGCACCACTGAGCTAAATCCCTGGCCCCTCTGGCTTTTTTTTCTTTTCTCTCTTTTTGGTTGACTCCTAAGCCTGCCCAGGGCATCCTTCTCAAGCTCAAGCTAGACAACCCAGTGTGGATATCTGGGAAGCTCTAAAAGGCACACGGCTGAGTCCTGCTCTCAAGGATTCTGAAGAATTTGGTCTGTATCACAGTCTGAAATTCCCCTGGGGATCCTTTCTGATGGGCAGCTAAGGTCAACGGAGAGCTTACCGCCCCAAAATTGGCACCAAACACAAATCCTCTTCCTTCCTCCGCAGTACTGACACCCCAGGCCTCTCCAACAGAGAGTCCACCCTTGCATTCCGCAGTGAGTTTAACTGGAAATGTTTTTGCAGGTTACTCACTAACTTAAGTTGAGGTTATGATTTAAAAAGATTCTTTCTCTGGAAATAAAACTACATCCGCTGGGGAGGAGGAAGTGGTACAGAGAAAGGAAGCTGGGGACAGGAAATGCACACCGAATCTACCCCCCGATTTCCCATCATTTCTGTTTCTCCAGGACTATCAGCAAGCTCGGAACTCTCCTTTATCCTCAACATCCCACAGCTATGTCCTCAGCCAGAATCCCAGCTTCTCTCTCTGCCTCTTATTTAACTTCGTGATGATTATCTTTTATCTTTTGGTAATTGGCTTTGGGTTTATTTTACCTGTCTTTTTTCTTTTTTTTTTTCCACCATTAAGTTTATGGGTACAATTTAGGTATAAAATACATTTACATTCATCATTGGGATCTTGTACCATTACATGAATATCTTGGTTCTTATTTTTTTCCCCCTTCCCCTGCCCTCCCCTCACCCCCTCAACCCCTCCCCACTTGAAAAGATCCCGTTTCCATTTTTTCCTTTCTCATATTTTTTTCCCCTCTTTCCTCTCCCCTGCCCCCCTAGACCTTTATTTCCTATTACACATTTTTAAAATTAAAATATCAAGACCTAGGAGACATTACCACAGATTTTACAGAATTTAAAAGGATATAGAAAGCATACTTCAAAAATCTGTTTTGAAATAAAT